AGGATAAAGATCTGACTGAAGTCCAGAGTTGTCTTTACTTATTTGCAATGGTATCTTTCTTTCATGTATTAATTTCTCAAATAATAAATATGCTGTATTATTTTGTCTTGTGAAAAAGAATTCACTGTCACTGTAGAACTGTAGAAATGTTCAGGGATCATAATGGTGGGCACACTGGATTTTGTTTCCTTAGATATTACTTTTATTCCGAGTTAACAAATCTCAAACTGAAGCCATTATTCATTCCTGCATTTGCAATATATCAACCAGAGATGTGGTAAATGAGAGAAAATCAGATTAACCTGTTAGAAATAGAATGTATTATGTTTAAAAAAGCTTTTGGGATCTTTCACAAATATAGTACAGCTTTGAGTATTGAAATTATGATAGAGAAAACAACTTCAGACTTCTGCTGAGATAATTTTGTGGTTGTACAATATGTCTTTTCTCATTTTAAAATCCTCAGGAGCACCGGTAACCTGACCTGAATGAGTGGACTTTTACCCACAGATGATGGGTCAAAAAAATTAGTTGTTTGAAGGGATTTGTCACCAACATTTGATATACAGGATCAGGACCTAAACTGTCATTCACATCAGTATCCTGGTATGACTCATGGATCTCAGTAGGATGGCACTTCAGAGTCAGTAAATAATCATGTTGCACTGGAAATGGATATAAACCAAGGAATGAATTGCAAAGACTCCAGGTGACTTCAACAATTACACGGACAAATCAAGCAACTCATATATTCCATCTTTTTTTATAAAGTTTATAAACTTTATAAAGTTTCTTATTCTAGTTGAATTGAGATGATGGTTGAAAGGGGTGAAAGTTTTCTTTATAGGCGAGCAGACTTCACCTTCTAGAATAAAAAATACTGCTCGGACACATAGACAGTTGAAGGGTAAGCATAATTTACTGTCTGTAAATTGTTTTGGAATCTTGAATAAAAATAGAGAAAGGAGTTAAAGCAAGCTATGAATAGATCAGAACAAATGAAGATACATGTGGACCCGAGGGGAGTGACCCCACCAATGAACCTTGATTGACAAATAAATATTAGCTCTGCCTCATTTCCATCAACAATGATTTTATCATCAAAGCCACCAACAACCTGCTTGGATGTACTTTGTGGCTTTGAGGCTGAGATCTTATTTTATCCAGTTGGTATTGCAGATTTCTGCATTTCTTGCAATACCTCAAAATTCGGCCCATGATCAAGTTTACAACTCATAAAACTTACTAAAGAGATTCCGTATAAGGCCTTGATATTCCTGCTGAAATCAGCACCAAGACTTTTTTGCTACCTGAACTATTAGATCCCAACATTTATATTTGAAATATAACTTCTTGGAGTGCAGACAGGGGTCTGCAGGAGTGACACATAGTTCATGTTACATTAAGAGTATGTCACATGCCATGATGCAGCATAATCCTGCAGACCCTATTTATAGCATGACAGATGCATGACATTGTATTAGAATTTTTATGAGACACCCTATCTTCAAATGTGGGTATTCACCCACGAATCAGCAGAATGGCAGCCAGCACCCTGTTATGTGAAAGAAATCAAGCCCAGTACATTTAAACTTACTAACCATCAGCAACTTCTGTTGTGTTAAACACAGCAGGACAGTGCAGTTTTTTGTGTTTTGACACTGTTGCACGTAGTTTTTCACTACAATTTTAAAACCTGCTCCCTAGACCCATCCTAGTCCAAACTCCTTTTCTTATAAGGAGGACTTGCAATATACTTCTACTAGTTTATTATGTAAAGCTAAACGTGGAAAGTTTAGTATATTTTTTCCTTGTCCTTTGTGCACTTTTCGAAGTGGATCTCAGCTGTGCTGTCTTAACTCTTGGTCCCCTAGGATGAGAGAGACAGCAGATGGGGTTAGGGCAGAGGGCTGATGCTTCTGACAGCAAACGGCCTGGTTGTTGAGTGGAAGCTGTGAGCGTCAGGAAGCTCCTTTTCCCCAGAGAACCAACTAACCACTGAAGAAAGTTGAAAATGAGCCCTTTGAGAAGCGCCATTAAAAGTAGTAAAAAATTGCAATTGTGCAGATGATGTGCTGCTGTGTGGTTATTCGGATGCTAATGAGTTTGACATCAGGGAACTCAAAGGGTTTGCAGCTACTCCCTTATGTGATTTAATTCCTTATTGGCAATCTTTGAGAAAATAAAGGAAAAATATACTGTTAATAAATACTTAAGTTAATAGAATTTTAGACAAAAATTTGCTAAGTTCAAGTCTTTAGAAAGCTTTGCTCACCATTGTAGTTATTCTCAGAGGTCTTTTGTTTTAGGTTAGTGTTGTTTGAACAAAGAGGAAGAGGAAGGTAGAAGGTTTTGAGACTTCTTTTGTGGTTTTGGGATTTTTTTTATGAATGTTGAAATAAAGTAGCAGGAAAATATGGCTTTGAGGATAAACAAAATTACTTTCTAGTAACATGTACTTTAAAAAAAGCTTAAAAAATCCTTTTGGTATTGGGATAGTTTACTCTGGGTTTTCTCCCTTCTTTATTGTCTTACATCTGTTGTCTGTTTTATTAGTTGATCAAAGTGTACTGATTATAATTAAAAGTTCTTGATGGGATGAAACTAGCATCCTATCTATTGGGGCGCAAGCAGAAATTAGTCACTCAAGAAACTCCAGCTTCCCTGAGAATCTGTTTAGAATGAGCCTTTACAATTTCGGAAATGTAGCATTCAAAATTTTGCTGAAAAAAAATCATCAGATATCATTAAAAGAATAGTTACACTTTTGAAAGTTTATTTGCAAACTTTGTAATAATTGGAATATTTTCAATGAATAGATCTATTTTATTAAATACGCTAGATGCTATGTGAAACAGACCTCTGAAGTTGCAACTGACAGCAAAATTTTAATGTTTTGGTCACCACTGTTAGGAGCAACCCCTAAATAAAAGTTGCCCTGCCCGTGCTCATTGTCAGATTCTCCCAGGTTGCAAGTGCCTAGAACTTAAAATGTCAGGAGGGTTTGGGTATTCAGTGTTTCTGAAAACAAGGATCTGAGTGTTGTACACTCAGATGTAAACTTCTGCAGCTCTACTTCCCTCGCTGTCACTCTTGATTTAGCATAAAGTTCCTGACAGAAAGGAATAGAAAATTAAGCCTGGAGAAATGTCAAAAATTTCCTTAATTTGGCTTATGCTGAGTACACTCTCAGCTTGCCAAACTTTAAATTTTAAGATCTGAAGTCAGAAAAAATAGAACAGAGGGGTTTTCTTCTGTTTTTAAAATATTTCAGAATGCTTCTCTTTTATTTTACATCATGAACTGAACCATCCCACTCAGTCTGATGCAATTAAAACATTTCACTATGGATTTCTACATATGGGAATGATAGATTATTGTCCACACAAGACAAAAAACTTTTCTAAGAGCAGGTTTATTTCATAAGCTATCAAAAGGGCATTAATGATGTAAAGAGACTTTAAGAAAAGAAAGAAACACTTTTCTTTATGCCCTTTAGAAGCACCATTGGTGCCTCTACACCCTATCTTTGTAAAAACACTGAAGAAAATATTGCACCTGGATTATTTACCCATTTCATTTAAAGAGTATCTTGTTTCATCTATGTTTTATTTAGTATAGCTGTTTTTTTTTTGTTTTGTTGGTTTTGGTTTTGGTTTTTGTCTGTTTTTTCCAGAGAATTAATTTGAGGATTATCTGTTAAATCAGGCAAGGCATCTTGGGCTGTGTGACAAATTTGGTCCTTTGGAATCTACACGTATTTTCACCTGGAAACACACAAAGGTGGGATAATTTATTTACAAAAATTAATTTTAGTAGAAATATGGTTATATATTAGCAGTAAAATACTATGGGGTTTCATGTATCATGCCGCATGCACTTTTCTTGTATAATATCTGCTGTTTTAAGAAAGTCTTCAACAGTCAGGTATAGCAGTACTGAGCAGTAGAAGAGATGAAAATTTTTTGTAAATACATAGAAATTCTAGTTCTTAAGTTTGTGAATTACACTCTTTTAGCTGTACATACTGTCTATAACAGAAGTATCTTTGAATTTATATGACTCCAGGAATGAGAATGTATTTTAAAGTGTTCAAAATGCACTGCTTAAATTTAAAATTATTGATTGATAATTTATTGGTGATTTTTATATATATATATATATATATATACATATATACATATATACATATATATATACATACATACATATATATATATATATACACACACATATATATACACACACACACACACACATATATATATATGATTTATTGGTTTGGGACTTTTTAAACTATATAGCTGTTGGGTGGACTAAAATTTTAGTGTAAATAAAAAGATCTCAAAGCATCAAAGCATTTTTTTTACTGAGTTTTTTTCTTCTAAAAAGTTATGTTTAATATATACTAGCACAGGAAATAGTGACAAGATTTTTAACTACATAAAAAGTGATAATCTAGGAACAAAAACCTCCAGAAAGTAATCTGAGTGTTACTGCATTCCAACTTAGTATATAATTTTTCTCTAAATTTAAAAACTAGCATTTGCCCCTTAATTTCAGGAAGCTGCGACTCTGCCCTCTAAAGCCTTGGTAAAGAAGACTAATAGAAATACTTGGCACATGTTGGTTACCTAAGGGAATAATAGAACTATTTGCTGTAGTCGTTTGGCAAAAGGACATAAACATATGGCTTTGGTTTATATTCAGCACTGCCAGTTGTGCAAAGTTGCATGGATGAAGTATACAACAGCAGTGACAACTCAGAAATCAGAAGTGAGAATCAAAATAAATCATCCACATTACAAAGCTAGTCAAGCTTGCCTCTGATCTAAGGCTTATTTTGTCTCTGCATATTTTCAAGTAATGAATTCAATATTAAAAAATCTACTTCTCAAAAACAGGTACACCATTCAGTCACACTGTAAAATGCCAAACTGTTGACGATTTAAATGTGTTATAAAGACTCTTTAAAGTTTGCATTTAGTAAATGTACTTATTTTAATTCTCAAGAAATTCATAGAGCTGAACCAATTACTTCCGTATCGTTCAACTTTTTCCTAGAGAAATCAGGCGCAATCAGGAGCCAACTAAAGCAAAATTTTCAAAAATAAAGATGCAATGTCTCCTTGGTTAAGAATAGTCAAAATCACTAAAAAAGACATATTTTTAGTGATAGTCTTTAGGAACATATTTCTAAATAATTTTCCTTTCTGGTCATCAACATATTATTAAAAAAAAAAAAAAAAAAAGAAAGAAAAGGAAGAGTAAGAAATTTTAACCACATTGCAAGAAATTTTCCTGAAAAAATTCTATTTGGATTCTGGATTATTTTTACTTCCAGAAATGAAAATACCTAACTTTGTCTCTTATATTTGTTCTTGGCATTTCTTTCCCTTACTATACTTCTCACCATCGGTGTGAGAGCAGTACTTCACATTAAAAATGTTACCGTAGACTAAGTGAAAGATTCAGTCAGTACTCATATACACATACAGACAATGCTTTCAGACTTATTAAAATTTTTATTCTCTATGACTTTAGTCTCTTTTTATGTGGTAAAATCTTACATGACTTGGTGAAAAGAAATATCAAAATATGAGTATCCAAACCTCTGAAAATCTTGCTTTGAGGGTATTATTTACTGTAGGGATAAGTACACAGACTGTCGTGTCACCTTGGGGCATGACAACAGCACAGTCCTGTTCGTTGTCCTTAGCAGAATCTGACTTCAGCTTTGAAGTTTGTGGCTCGTGTTGGAGACTTGAGAATGGATTTCTGTGCTTTAAAAATCAAATAGGTTTGTTCTTCTGACTGAGTTCACTAAGCTTGTGACAGATACAGCTGTTATCTCAATACTAACTTCAGTAATTCACAAATTAAAAAGAGTAGATAAAATTAATCTTTTTCCAGACCTCTTAAAATCAGGTTAAGTTTGTCCTAGTGAAATGATTCCCTGAATTTAATTTTGAAAATCAGGTATAACTTTAAGTCAGAAACTCACAGTGCAATGATAAAACTTATACTCTTTATCTCTAGATAAAGTGGCGATTTCTATTCCTCTAGCTAGTTATGTGAAAGGAAACAGACTGACACTCCAGCGGCGTGAAACCCACTCCAGGAAAGCCACACTTGTATGAAGATTACAATGGAAAGTAAAAAGTGCATAGCTCTTACATGAGCTCTTTTCAGCAGATGCATTTCAGTTTTACCTTCACTTTTATGTCAGCAGCACTGGCTTCGCTAAGCCATAGTTTATTTCATAGCAATGTGCTGTAAAAATATCCTACCCAGATAGTAGTGTCAATTTAGTTTCTGAAATTAAAATTAAAAAATGTGCAAGTAAATTGATATAGTAGTTATTATTATTATTGTCATTATTATAATTTATTGCACATGCCCTATTTTCAGCTGTTAGTCATATTCTTGGATCCTATTATAACATCAGTACATGCACATGTGCACAGACAGACTCCAGGCACACAAAAAACCAAACTCAGAGCCAAATACTGATTCTCTCACTCAGGGAAGTATTTCCAGGTGCTGCTCTCGAGTCTGTTAACTGCAGTGGGATGGTACAAACAAAAGAAGTACCACTTGGTTCCTGCAGCCAGGAACTCTGAAACAGTTTGCTCAGAAAGTATGATTGCTGCTATTGCACCAGTAAATTAATCTGGAGAAACATGAATACCTTGTAGCAGTTAAATAGCAAATTATTACTGTTTCAGCCAAGCAGAATTTGGAGTATTGTCATTGACTCCAGTCAGTTTTCTGTGTTCTACTTGTTGTCTTACACTTAAATCTCAATAAACATTGTAGGAAAAGTAGAGGAAAGATCAGAATGAAATTCACAAAGTCAGACAGAGGGCATTCATAAACCTCGGGGGATTTGCTGGAACATGTTTTCACAAAATCATTCAACATCAGTATCTTCAGTAAATTTTGAGATCATGGAAATGGAGCATAAGTGAAGCAGAAAGTGTTTATTTCTTAGCCTGCTTGCTTAATTATTTGGGACTTCAGAGCTCTACATCTCTGTCCTTGTGTTTCTGACTATGTATTTCCCACTAATTCCTTTAGAGTCCATTAGATAGCTTCAACTAATTTTGAAAAGAAAATGTTTAGATGAGTTTAAAATCCATCAAATCAGAGCATCTAGATATAAAACCCAGAGATTAAGTGGACTTAGTTTCACTGTTCACTTGCCATTATTTTTGTAAAGCTTGCCCTTAAAAATTATGGGACTGTAACTCCCAATACAATTCTTCTGGCAAAAATTTCATTATCCCCATGGTCCTGATGACTAAAAAAATTAGCAGTGATACTGTGTGAGGATTTTGTGCAGACTATTTACCCCTTATGGATTCTTGACTCATATGTAGTCTGAGGAAGTGTGACCGTTCCCCAGCTTTGACAGTATGAGGCACCTTCCAGAATCCATCCAGCCTTTACAGACACAACAGTAATAATATATGTCTCAAATTAACATCTCCACAAGTACCTCTAAAATATTGGCTAGAATTTCTCAGAATTTAATCCTTTTGTTGTTCCATGGGCGACTTGAAAGTTTGAATGCTTCTTGCTGGCCATCCTTTGATGTAATTTCATGTAAAATTATCACTATGTAGATGAAAAACAGAAGTGAGACACTTCATTCACTTTGCATCAGTATAAAGCAGTCTCTAAAAGAACTACCAAACTCCAAAGACAGTACATTTAAATTTTAAGCAAGAGAAGGTTTTTATTTTGCTGACACAGTTTAGCGATTTCAATTTTATTCAGTTACTTTTGTATTTCAAGTTAATACACAGGATTATTTTCTAAGTTAAGGTGTCTTTTTTGCAACACAGACATGATGATTACTTTAAAATGTGTATGAACCAGGCTATACTGTTCTATAAATTATAGGTTTGAGATGATAAAAAGATATCTCATAGTGTGAAACTTTTACACGGAAAGAAAATCAATTGAAAAATCACCTTCATTGATTTTATCATTGGTTTTCACTCTTTGTGCAGTTTTTAAATATTCATCACAATGCAACCTGCTGTTTAGACCAAAGTAACTGCTGTTCAGTAGAAGCAGTGGGCACTTTTTGTTTCATAATTAAAAGAGCAGCACTGTGATTGGTGTGGTATTTATTATGAAATGATGACAAAGGAGTACCAGTGTTTTTAATAGTTTTAGCTTACAGGAGCTGTTGTTAATTTTGTCTGTAGAGTTGCAGGTGAAATAATGCACAGTGGATAAATAGTCTATATTGGTTTAACTGAACATAATATATAGTGTGTTCTGGAGTTGTTTGTCTCAATAGACTATAGTAATCAAAAGTAATGAACCTATTATGTGCAGGACCTTGGAGAGCATAGAATGGCAGTAAAAGTGTGGCACATAAAAGGTTTATTAAAGGAAATTAAAGTCCATCATTGCCACACCTGCTCCCCTATTATAAGTCTATGGCAGGTCAGTGCCTTCAATCACAACTCAGCATCCGAGAACAGAGCCATGTTTCCCATTACCATTGCAGTCACATTGCAAAAACTCATTCTCCAGCTTTTAAGGATAGTAACAAGTAAAGGCTGCCATCAGCCCCACTACATAAATAGAAGCTCCTCATGTTTTTCCCTGCTAATAATCAATATCAGATGTAAGTTTAAACAGAGAAAAGGTATAATTGTCTGGCTTTGATGTGTATTTCCATCCATTTATATTTTCATTTCAGACATCGCTAACCCGTGTTCTAGAATTTCACTTCTTCAAGTCCATGAATACCCTTTTTAAATGTTTGTGTTCTCTCCTTCAAACTGTATTCTGATTCCACTGTCTGCTTATAATGTTCAAATGTTTATAAAAACAAATAAACCCCAGGAAATTAGAGAAATGCTTTTTATCCCCTAGAAAGGCTCTTTACTCTTTTTATTTCTCAGGTCAATCTTGTCATATTCTGCAATGTTCTTTCAGATAAGACCTTCAAAACATCTCAGTAATCTGAGTCATATTGAGCTAAAAATAAAGCATACTCAGATCTTCAAACTCTATAAATGGAAAAAGGCACAAACAGGGCATCTTGCATCCTTCCTCAGTTCAACACAATTTAGCTGATCCTCAGAAAGAAAAAGTGAAGTAATTGACAGGATCTTCTGTTGACATCAGTATTTATCTTGTGACATTTTTCAGGGAGACATGCTTGGCAACTTCTGGTCTCCACATCTAGCTATCATCCAACACAGTTTCATAAATTAGACTCTGGTGTCTGCAAACTGCTCAGAAGCCCATGGGAGTTGCTTTGTCTACTGTATATTTGATCATCACCATTTTACAAACAGGAAAATTGAGATTCAAGTCAAAGACAGATAGCAAGTTTCCTTCATAGACTGAAGAAAAATTCCATAGTTCCCGACATTTTGCTTAGACAAAATTTCCTGGTGATAGAATTTCTTATGTAAAGTTTGACAAAACTTTCTTATGTAAAAAGAACTACTTTTAGAAAGGAGTTTGCCTCCCTGGATATGGTCAAAATTGTACTGTTGTACAACCTGCTATTTGTCACTGCAGTTCTCCACACCACAACATGATATCTTAATCCCTTTGAATTTCAGGGGTTTGCAATAAAATCCATGGATTGAAAGCCTGCCCCTATAATTATGTGTCTGGGCCACATCCAAGACCAGAAGGTGCATATTTCCAGTTTGAGTTTAGATGTAGCCAAAAGTGTGGTGAGAACAGCTGATCTTGAAAGGATTCTCTTATTTCAGTTAGAAAACTTATGATATCAGCTGACTTCTGGGGGGATCTGGGATTTGATCTTTTGATTGTTTGGATTTCTTTTTTTATAATGTGAAATACAAATCTGGACAATAAATTCTTCAAGAAAGCCCCCTATAAATCTATAATTCACTGTCTCTTCAAGCAAAACTTCTTAAAGACGTAGTTGATTAAGTGTTGAAGAATTTCAAAGCTGTATATGTGTAGTTATGCACTGTCAAGCAAGCTTTCATATTTTAAGGATGAAGTTGTCAGAAATGCAGGCTCCAACATAGCTGTAGACCTCAGTTACAATGAAAATTGTAACTACAGAGTTCCGGTAGTCACAGCAGATTTCTGGGACCTTTTGTTTCAGGAAGTGGTTGCTGAAAGCTGCACTCATGCTGCATTAGTCTTTCTAACCTTATGCCTTCAGCTAACACCTGTAGACCTCGTCATTAAACCTTACAGAGTCACTCATAACTATCACTTTATTAAACAAATCTGCATCATTAAAGGTATCTCCTAGGTATTTACTAGATATTCACAGATGGCTTTTTATCTCTTTGACAAGATTAATAAGGCATGATTATTCTTTTTTTTCCTATTACTGTCTAGCCTTTGGAAATGTGAAAAAAAAAAAAAAAGATTGGAGTGCTTTTTTTTCTCTCAATGGCAAAAGGTATGAATTAAAGGCCTTGTGTTAATATTACAGATGGATGCAGATGGGGAAAATAAAAAGCTGCGCACACGCTCCAAAGGAACCAAGGGTGAGTTAGCAAGCACGCTCCACGACCCTGTGCCCAGAACACCATGAAATATCATAGTTCCTCTGCACAGTCCTTAATGTGCACTGAGAGACTCTGTAGCTTCCTTATGACTGCTTTTTTTAATCAAGGCAGGACACAGACTGTTGGCATTAAGAGGCGCAATGTTATTAGCTATGGTATAAAGAAAAGCAAAAAAACCTACTGATGTTATTGTATTTGAGTTATTTTTCAAAGAAAATAAAGGCCATATTTTTACTATGCAAAAAACCCCCTAACAACAACAAAAAACGCCCAAAAACCAACAAAAAACCTCCACAAACCCAAAAACCCCAAAATTATTTTATATGGAGAGTAGAGTTGACAACATTGAATAGATGCTTTAAAAATTTTATATCAAAACTTTGTCTCATCCACCTGAATGTTTTCATGTCTATTGCCATTAATTATCTATAAAATGGTTTTGTAAATGGTCCAGAAGTAAATTTTCTCTAATCAAAAACTTCAGGTGTATGTGGCAGAAAACAATCTTGTGGATTTTTTTGAAGTATTGGTGCTCATGTTTCATTTGCAAAGTTATGACATAGTTGTATTTCCCAGATATTACTCTCTTTTTGTAAAGAACAGATGGAAATGCAGTACCGAGAGATAAACAGGCCCTTAATGATCTCAACATCTGGAAAACATGATTGACTAGCAGTACAGCCCTTCCAGGAAAATAACTTTTTATTTTACTTCATAACACTTTTTGTGACTCTTGATAATAAGTGAAAAATGGATATACTTAAAAATAAATGTCAAAGTTTTGCCTGCCCTGTGAACAGTTTTGCTTATGACTATTTGCAGAGGCACAAAGCACCCATCCTTCACTCTAATTTAATGAGACTTGTTGATTCTAAAGATTTTGCAAAACAGACTACTAGTATTCGTTGTCACAACTCACTAATTTGAATTGTTGATATTGTGCCTTCAGGTTCAAGTTATAGTCAGAATGAAAGATTAGAGTGGTTTGGCATTAATTCTCTATTTTCGAATGATCAAAGGGGCAAAAAGTGCTAGACATCACTCAGGGAGACAGAGGTAAAGCACTGAAGTACTGCAGACTGACTGCAGATAAGGGGATAAATACAGACAAACCTTTCTAAAAAACATAATCGTTGTCATACCAGAACTTTGATGCAACCCTCAGTGGTAATCACTGAAATTAATATAAAGGTCATGTATATTTCAAAAGTACCAAACAGAGAACTTGTGAAGTCTCTGAATAGGGAAGTTACTCACACCTCAGCATTAGGGCATGTCTTCTCTGTTGGTCAGGACTCCGAGTAAAAAGAATTTGGCTGGCATAGAAATCTTCAGTTGTAATTAGTAGGGGTTTCATACCCTTTCACTCAAAAGGCTAATAACACAATTTTATAACTTATGGGATTCTTCTTTTCTCCATGTTTTTAGATGTGTGCATACACTCTTATAGCAATTAATATATCAAGAACCTTTTTCCCAGAAGTGAAAACAACAAAAGTTGCCTCTGCATTATGAATAATCCTTAGAGACACCTGTTGGCCTTGTTAATATACTGTGTACTCCTGTGTGGGCAGGAATTTGTAAGCATTAGACTTTGCAGGTTCCCAAACTGATTTTAAATTCTGAAAAATAAGAGATTTTGCATTCTATTTTCAGGAAAAACAAGAATCTTTTCTTTTAGTTTTTTTTTATTATTTTCCTTATTGTTCCACTGAACATCATATTCCAGGTTTCATGCATCCTAAAATAACTGTGACAATTACACATTCATTCAGCATTTGTCACTAGTAGCTACAATCCTGTAGTTAGCATGAAATAACCACCTGTGTTTTGATAGCCACTCCTCTGTCATTACAGATAGGCAGGTGCAAGGCTGCAGAAAGCACAAATCTGGAAGTGTAAACTAATTAATTCTTTCCTGCTTTTATTAACAGTTCAAGTGGACTCTATAGCTCAAGAGCTCAGGTAAGAACTTTGTTTATTTTTTCAGTTTTATTTTCTTATCTTATTGAAAAATTTATACCACTGCTACTTCTATAAAATAAAGAATGAAGCAAATGTATCTTGTAAAACTCTAGGATTGATCTGAAAAAGGATAATTTATATGGGTTCACATTTTAGATACACAACAAAATAAAGCAAAATGTTAGCAATAATTATGCAAGCATAATCAAAAGTAATGTGAAGTGGGCAGGACTCTGGTATTTTGTCTTTATCTTCAGCCTGTGTCAGGGTATGCAACAAAATAATTTCTGGTGAATCTTCAGCTCTTTACTCTTCTTTTTCCTGTAATATGTATTATAGTGTTTCAATATCTGAATATTATAAGAGATATTAATATATTTTACTAGATATTTTTATAAAACAGATCTGTATACTCCTGTAATTTCTAAGTGCAGTAATGGCTCATTCTTCCTTGAGTATTTGTTGAGGTTTCATAATTTATGGAAGTAGCAGGGAGTATTTCTCAAACTTGCACAAAGGATCTCCATCCACTTAAAACCATACACTACATAAATATATTTCAGACTGCAAATATTCTAGTAAAATTTCAACACAACTACTTTAATCTACCTATGCATGCACCAAATCCTAATAACAGATCCAAAATCTTAGATTAAACTATGAAAAGACTGGCAGATTATTCTGTACCAAATCTTCAAGAAAGAAAATATTTAGAGGTACCTACAAATTCTTAGAGTTATTAATCAGAATTACAATTCACTACATCTTCAGTGTAATACTGAAAAAAAATTTTGCAGAAAGATCTTTAGAGTTTTTTGTAAATTAACTTATCTTCTCTACACTCACTCTTCGTCACTTACTGGGCTGCTTGCTTAATCACAGCAGGCATCCAAAATATGTGCTTGTGGGTTCATCCAACTAGGGAACAGAAACATCATTGTGTGATTTATTTGATCAACCAAAAATGCCCAGTCTCTTAAAATAGGGCATGAAATATTTACAGGAAGTTATTTACAGTGAAGACATACAATATTTAAGGTTTTGTTTTATAATAAAACTGAGGAAATTATAAGCTTCTTATAGCTACTCCGTGAACAGAAGTGTAGGCTAACTTTTTGGATAAATTATTCATGTTGAGTCACTCATTCAGCTTTGCTGTGAATATCATATTTTGTATGGCTTCAGTTTCCTGAGATTTAGTGCTTCTCCTTTTTTCCTCTGTGCATCGCTAATTTATGCACCAGAAGGATGCATTAATCCGAAGAGGCAGCCATCCAAAAAAAGGGATGGTCCATGTGTTCCTAGGAGAAAAATGTTTGAAAAATAGAGGATGTGCAAGTTTCTGCAACATCAGGGAAGCTGTGATTTATGTATTATTGATTGCTATAGTTTTCCCAAGCAACTTTTTTTTTTCCCTGTGAAATATGTGTTGCCTTAGGAACTACTGTGCAGCAGACCACTTTGTCAGAGATGTGGACTACCTCCATAAGGAAACATACATTGGTTTAAAACAGTGAGCTAAACAGCACAGAAGAGCATTATCCAGCCCTTAACTTGGTATTTATAACTTCTGCTGTACCAAATTCCATATTGGGTATCTCCACAGTCAAATGACTGGTACACAAGTCAGGTGATCAACTTCTGTGGATCCCCTTGTCCATGAAAAAGAAGAGGAAGAGAGGCAGGGACTGCTCTTTGGAAATGCAGCCACTGGACTCAATTCCTGTTAGTCATACCCATATTATTGTGGGAAAACTATTGAACATTCCTCAGGAATTAAAGACTGAAATAGTTTGTTTTGTTCCCCGGATACAGATATTGGAACCACTGTCTTTTCTGACCAAGGTTCTAAATGCTGTGTTGGCTGAGAAATTTAAATCCATGCTTAATTAATTTCCCCTTTTCCCCTGGCTTATCCTATCTGACAAAGCACTTTTGCACTCCTTATTGCGTTTCTGTTACGAAGTGCCTTGGGATACTTCTACATGAAAGACTCTACATAAGCTTACATGCTCATGTTGTCTTATTATTAATTTCATAACATTGATTGGTTCTAGAGCATTTGTTAGCCTTTTCTTATTCTGTAACTTGTGTTTCACAAAAGTAGAGAATAAAATAAATGAAAAGCAAAACAAAGAGTTTCAATGACTGAATAAATTCAATAAAGCATAAAATTTTTTCTCTTCTAAATTTCAGGCATTGAAATCTTGCTTAATAGAATTCAATGCCAAAAAATCTCTTGATTTCAAGAAAGCCAACTGGCTAATGTTATCATCCATCTTCTCCTGAAAAATAGGACCACCTTCCTGCATAAAAAGAGTTTATTTTTAGAAAAATATTATCTTAAGAGACAAGCTGGGTTTTAGATTTTTTTTTTTCTTAGTAAAATAGCTAAAAATTCTCTTGCACTGCACAGACTTTTCAGGGAACAGATTTTTCTTTCAGGTATACACAATGACTTATGTGTCAAACTTTCAGTTATTTCATATAACCATATGCCAGTAAAATATAAATAATTTTCTTTATACATAAACACTATTAACATTTCTGTGCAATTAATTCAAATTTATTAGGGTTACTTTAACAGTATCTACTGTATGTACTGTAGTGTTGAAGCATAGTACACTAAACTTAATAAGCCTTTCAAAACAGAACTGTTACTTCTTGAAGTGTTGATCATTTATATGCTCAAAACAAAATTTCATTTTTTATTTAGGAATGTAATGGTATTTTCCTTAGTAGCTAAGCTATCTTAAGAAAAGATTAAGCTTTTTATCACAAGCTAAACATAGCAAACAATGTGTGGTAGAAGTGAATGTTGAAGCCAGGAGATCTCTGTTCCATACATTCAAGTTTGAATCTGACACCTTTTGGGCATAGAAGCTCTGTTGTATCCATCTTCTGTGAGAAGCAGAATGAAGAGGTCTTCTCTTAGACAATTTTGTCATGGACCACTGAAAGGACCAGGACCTTCAGCTGTGTTCAGGATTAGAATGGAAACCAAAGTAAAGTGAGGAATATTGGAGTGATGTATTCTCATTACTGTGTTTTATTTAACAGATGGGATACAGTACAATGAACCATCTGTAGGTTATGGAGTGGCATCTGGGTCAGACCAAGGAAGAGCAAATTGGATTGATCCAAGCACAGAATTGCAAAAGAATAGATCAGTTTGGCTAAATCCATATCTGAATAGAAGGGGTACCTTTTCTGAGTTAGATACAGGTGAAACCAAGTGGTCTGGGCTTCAGTCACTGATGATTAATGTAGAGTCCACGAGTTGTTTCAAATCATGGAGAACAGCATTGCTGTTTGGTGGGAGTAGTTACACTTCCCCTTACTTTCTGCACTGGTGCATCAATTCAAAAGTAAGGAAAATTACTGTTTTTTTATCTGGAACTCTTGTTCCATGGGTTGCGAGAAATTTTAGATATTCAGAGAAGTTGAATTGTTCATTGTGAATGTACAGAGTTATGAGTATCTTGAATACTTTAACAGAGAGAGGACTATCAGAGCAGAACTATCTGGATGTCTCCTTGTTAGAAGTAGTAACAATTCCCCCTTTGATTAGGAGGGTGAGAAACCTGCACAGCAACCCTGAAAACAATGGAACTGAAGTAGCTTAGAAAGTCTGTGTTGCTAAAATGTATTCCTTAAACCTGTAATGTTTGAAGAGGTACATTAATATACTGTTGTATACAAGTATATGACAACATGCTAAAAAGCACTTAAATAGTGCTTTTTATAATAATAGTAGTTATTCCTCATTCTACATTGCTAACTATTTTCCTGGTTTCCGTTAGGAACTTTTAAATTACATGTATGCAATTATAACTGAGCTCTATTGCAGACAGTATTAGAATGAAGGTAGAGAGTTTGGTAGCTAGAAGGGAATTGGGCTAGTCAGGAAAACCTTATGGCATGAAAGAAAAGGCCTGATCATGCCTAGCTGCATTTAGAAAAGACTGATTTTTCTGAACTTCATATAGTAGGCAGATTTGTAAGAAATATTTGTGGGAAAAAAATGCAGTAGTATATCAGATGACTGGAGAAGGAGGTGAAGGTGATACTCAGCTGATGGAAGAACTGGGCACATGAAGAAAAATCACATAAAAAGTCTCCAAGGTGTTCCTCAGAAAGAACTGAGATTATGGTTGATTTGTGTAGCTATCACCTTCACAGCTGTGTTATCCCACCGCACTGCTTAGAAATAAGACAGAGACTGAGAAACCTGTTTGTTCCTAGCTGGCATCTGGAAAACCTGTCAGGTTTGTCCTTTGGGCTTGGCTTCGGTTTCCACAGGAGTTGGTCAGAGACTGATTTTCTGGTAACTGCTGTGGAAAAGCACGTTTGACATAATCCTGAATAAGCACATTTGGAAAAGAAACTGAGGTGGACTCTTGCATTTCCTGGTGTCTCAGCTGTCTCCCACTGGCAGAAAATATGGGACCCTCACAGTCCTTAATGTGCTTTGCTGAAACAAATTGTATCGCTATACTCAAACAGACTCAGTAGTGAATGTTAAATGAAGATGGTCAATAGTTGCAGCCACTGCCAGACATGTCTGAACTTCACAGAAAGTGGTTTTCTGTTCAATTTAAGATTGGATGTTGATGGCATACCCTTCCAGTTCTCCTTCCCATGATGTTAACTGGCGGGGGCAGAGCTGTGCCATCTTGGCATTTAAGTATTTCTCCATGGCATATTGGATTAAGCATTCCACCTGAGTCAAAGCTCTGTGTCATGCTGTTTCTATTGATAACTGATCTTCAAATAAACAATAGGCATTAATCTTAATAGTAGCTATTCCCAAGATCTGCTAATAGAATGAGTTAGAATATCTGCTGCTTACTCTCTAGCTTGGAAAAGGAACTTCCTCCCTGCCCTAGCCATTGTAGAAATTGAAATGGTTATGGGGTGCTGAAAATATTAACCTCTGTCTCTTACTCCATGATTTCTGGTACAAGCCAGTCTGTTGTGTTATTATGAATCATGCTTTC